ACGGTTATATTTTCTACATTGGCCCGGCCGGGGATCTAACCCGAGACCTCAGAGGTGGCGACCCCATGAAAACCAGTACCTATGCAAGCCACTCAAACACGGATGTCGTCAAAAATATAACACGCAACAAACGCAGTAAAGCTCATATTACGGCTTGCCGGCAGAAACAAGTAAGGTTGTTGTAGTTCCCTGAACGAACTCTCTCACAAGGAGCCCTAATAATCCTTAATTGAGAGGTCGAGGATTCAAATCCTTGTGTCTGCATGTACCGAAATATGACATTGATTTCTAAGTTATTTGCGAATTTTTAGTAGCAACACCTCTTGCTAACCTTGGACCTTCACCGTGAAGTTAAACATGTATCTATTAAGTCCATAACCCGCATTGACACAGCGTGACGGACTATAGCCTTAATTAAACCTTCTCCTTAAAGGAAACCCGTGCCCAGCAGTGTGACTTATAATGAGTTGACAGTGATGATTTTGTTAATAATAGTATTTTGCCAGACATCGAGTATATAACCAGAAATAGAGACAAAATGTCATTTAATTTGTTTGAAAACTGTTCTGCCAAATGATACGGTGACAACTGTACTCCGATTGGCCAGCCCGAATTCGAAACAATTAACGGGTGTCGTCAATTGTTTCACTTCAAATCGGCCAGTTTAACTTGAGCTTTGCTATAATGACGAAAGTTACAAAATTACATATTTAATATTTAATTACCGATAAAATGTGATTGCGTTTGTTTTGTAATTGGATGTTTTGCTGTTTTTCCCACACCACCAAATGGAATAGTCCCCATTGTTAAAGATATTATCTTTATTACAATAAATACAGAATATTTTTGGAATATACGGAGACGTACACACAGGTCAGTTGTTGGCGCTGTACGTGTAGTGTTTGTAGTGAACGAGAGTTCATATTTAAAAGTGATATAAGGCCCATTCACCTGATTATTTGCCAGCGATGGATGGTCCTAATTACGTCTCTATTTCTGGTTATTTATTCGATGGTGCCAGACCACCACACCAATTGCCTAGACTCAAACTAGGAATACCCTGTACTATGAATAACACCCAGGCCAGAACAATTTTGTTCATTTCCCAAATTGGTCCTACCGGGATCGAACCTGGGACATCCGCATCCAGCACCCACAATGTAAACTGCTAGGTAAGAATCTACAAAGGATAAAAATTAGTAAGGTCCGCTAGTTCTTTTTTATTATACAACATCAAGTGACGGGACGTCTGTTCATAACAGTTACAGTGCCACTCAGAGCTTTAATTTGCAAATATCTGAGGGGCAGTACCATTGCGCCCGTCATCCTGAGACATAAGTTGATAAGTACCATGTGCCTGTAATTTCACAAGCACCTTTACCCTTCAAAACCGGAACACAGTAATGGTAACATTACTGCTTGGCGGCAGAAATAGTAGCAGTAATACCCTGGATTAACTCTTCCACAAGAAGCTCTACTGCTACTAATTAGTTCCGTAGTATAGTCGGCATAGCGTCTGGTACGCTTTGCTGGAAGACGTTAGTTCGAATCCAGCAGCATAGAAGAATTTTTTCTCAGTGTTCAATCTTTGTATTAGTAATTATCACAAACTAGTGGAGTAATTTCACAAAAACAATTGAATATCATGGTCGTCTAACATCATGTCGTTAAAAAAAAATATTTAGGACACTACATTTTATTAACTTGTTTCATTGATTTTTAAATAGAATTATAGTAAATTTTTGGCGCCATTACAAAAATAATTTTATGCATGAAGGTACTTTTTCAAACGACGAAGTTGATCACATAAACGATAAAAATATGTCAATTAAAATAGTAGAAACAGTGGTTTGAAAGTCAACCTAACAAAAGATATAGATGTAATTGGACTAAACAGGTGCTTTAACAGCAGCATTGGCAAAAGTTTGAAAGATAATTAGTAGGACCATTGTCGGCAACACAGAGTCGGAAAGAACATCAAGGTCACCGGACTGTTTTTCACCTAACGCAGTTAGCTTGTTGACCCTTCTTTTAAGCCGACTTTAAAAAAGAGGACGTTCTTATTTCGACTGTATATTTTTCGTGTGTATGTTAGACGTTGACTCCGACATTTGTGAATAAATTTCGATGATGCTTTTTTTCTTGGAAAGGGGTTACTTAGCAGTCCCTTTCTAATTTGAACAAAATATTCCACCTCTGGGAAATAACATTTTCCAGAAATAACGTTTGATCGAAATTTCATAACCTCGAAAGTAATTTTGAAAGGAAAATGTTTTTTCTTTTAAACCTAACTTAACATAACCTAACCGAACCTAATCGTATCTTTGCGATAAATATTCAACATATCCTGAAAGACCAACTGTTTCGTTATAATTCGGTTTCGGTGTAATGAAAATTCGAACAAACGTAATTTTGGACAAAAGATTTTTCAAGTTTGTGATAGATTACTTGAATCCTGTTTATAGGATTCCGTTAAATAATTCCATAAGTCTTTTTAGTCCGTTGTTTTTATAATCTAATAATTCATTACATTAATAATGCTTTCTAACTTGCAATCTCAAACGACCAGTAACACGACGCGAAGGTTTTCGCCGCGCAGTTACCATGATTTCATGTACATTAATGGCGAATCTGGATTCTTTTTACTAGGCAACAATGTTTAAATTCCTCTGAATTATGCATCCGTCATGTAGACCAAATTCACGCCAGTCTCGCCCGCTAAATAAATAGAGCGTATTTTGCTGTGACAGATTCACGCGGTCACTGTGCGCCGACAGCTCGGGATAAAAAAACCGACCTCAAAAGTCACTCATTCCCTAGTTTACCACCCTTAGAAGAGGAATATTTCCATCAAATTTAGATGGGACCACTTCTGAGGTACCCTCTATCCAACAAAAAAAGAATTATCAAAATCGGTTCACAAATGACGGAGTTGAGACATACATACAAAAAACATACAGACGAATTGAGAACCTCCTCCTTTTTTGAAGTCGGTTAATAAATATGCCCTAACTCTGTTAAACCCCTTTTTGTGTATTGATTATAAACTAAACATTAAATTTTCTCAACGTTGTAAACTCTAATGGCTATCAATTAAACGTAACCGTGTGAGATTTGTATTGCAGTGACTGTGTCAAATTAATTAGCACGCTCGAGCGCATCCGGCTCGAAGGACCAATTATCAATCGAATCTGCTAGTTAGATAAATGTGGTTAGTTTCCAGATTCGATCAAATGTTTTTAAATGTATATACATTAGTGATGCAATAGACCTCTGCTTCTGCTTCCACAACTGCGGAAGCTCCGCATGCCTTTTCACTCTGTTTCCGTTTCTGCTTCCGCAACTTTTATAACAGAAATTTCGGAACGGTTGCACGCTCCATGGTCACGGGTTGACTGGACGGCGGCAGATGACAGCTTTAATAGCAGATATATCTGTCTACCCTCTTGCGCTGTCGACGACTACCTTCATCGCGATTTGTTGTAGCGTTACCATTGTCACTCACTTTTTTCACTCATCTTTGTAATGTTTAAACTTCTGCTTCCGCATCCACTGCCACTTCCGATAAGATTTACTTTTGACATCTGTTTCCGTTTCTGTTTCCGTTATGACACTTCCGTTGCATCACAAGTATACATAGTTAATTTGCTATGCAATTACCGGCCACAAGAATATATTCACTCTACATCTATCAGTGCGTCATGAAAGCTATTGAGAAACGAATCCAGGTAATAGACAGCTGCATATGCATGCAGCTGTCTGTGCAAGAATGTTCTTATGGATCGCTCTGTTGCATTCTCATCAATTCAGAAACAATAAAAAACCCTAGTTCTGAATTGAAACAAAACTGCAATCAAGTTATCCCAAGTAGATCGCACACGCACGTCGACCGGTGAGCTATGCCGTTCCACGCTGCCGCTGCGGCCTACGCTGCGCAGACGCACGCGCCGCGTTCACACGCGGTCATCTCCAATTCAATCAATCCATCAATTGAGTTGGCATTCCATGTGATAAGTAGGTTATCATAGATGTTACTGAGTTATTGATTGAATTTACTTTTAGAAGAAATATTGAAGATTGTTTTTGTAAATTCATTAGTTTACGCGTGTGCCCTTTCGTAAGTTATAGTTTTCACAAGAAATTTATTACGTCTAAACACCTACATTATACATAGTAATAGACGAAAAACAAAGACCAATAACAAAACTAAACTGTCTTACAAACCCGTGTTTATGTACTCTAACTTCCAGCCCCTTTCTCCAACAAACACACATTACCATAAACATCTATTCGTTCAAACGAAAAAAACAGTTTGTTTTAACATTAGAAAGAATGCTTCTGTTTTACGAGACAATAAAACTTGGTCGACCCTTGTAACGTTGCGGCTACTTTATCTACCGCATTCAATTTTTTATGTAAAGCGCCATCTAGAGATCGACGGTTGAACTTCTACGCTGTGAAGCTAGCGACCACCCGCGTGGGCGCCGCAGGTTATTTGCTTTGTGACTCGATTCGATAGCGTATTAGTATAGAACCTCTACTTACAGGTCTGTCAAACACGTATTATAACGTCAAACGATATGATAGAATTTTCGCATTTGGAAAAGCCATAGGAGAAATTATAATCGAGTCAATAGAAAAACGAACTAACATTATGATGTTGTACCTGTGATTATGCATATTTTTAACCGAATTTAAAAAAGGAGGTTCTCAATTCGACTGTGTGCATAACATAATGCCATTATTTCAATATTTGTGGCCCAATTTCGATGATTCTTTTTTTGTTGACAAGGGAGTACCTCAGTAGTGGTCCGTAAGAGTCAGTAAGGATGACAAATTAGAGGATGAATCCAGTTTATTAGATTTCACTCTCTTTTCGATAACCAATTTCAATAAAATTTGCCAAATAGATGCAACGAACACATCGAAAGCGGAAAAGGAAACTTTTGAGGTGGGTTTTTATATAAAAAAAGTTATAATTATATATGTTACATATTTACCTTGGCGTAGTCAACGGGCGAAGCATTCACAGGGCAGGTGAACAAACCCTCGCTGAAACAAAAGAGAAACACTGATTATGTATAATCGTTCATCGTTGTCAAACATACCTACGTCCCACTGCTTGAACATAGGTCATCTATACATGCTTTCCAAGGGACTATCCTTGTCTTGTTATTGACTTTTTTTGTATAATATAAGACGCACAAGTCGTGCACCTGGTGGTAAGCGACACGCCTATCCATAACAGTTGCAGTGCCATTCAGAACTTTAAATCGTAAAGATTTTATGGGCACTGCCACTGCGCCCGTCACCTTGAGACATATCGCCTTACTCAAACTCGTATTTTAAACCACAAAATTACTGAAATGCAAAAAATGGATTATATATACAATGTTGGAAGCTGATTTCCCTAATCTTAAAGTGCGTACAAATTCACACCCTTAATTAGAAATGTAAAATATATATTCACTCGTTGTAAGATACGGGTTTGAGAAAGTACTTACCTTACCTATTTCTGCCGCCAATAATGTTAGCATTACTGTGTTCCTGTCTTGAAGGGTAAGGGTGCTGGTGAAATTACAGGCACATTAGACTTGTCTACTTACGTCTCAGGGTGGCGTAGTGGCAGTGCCCCTCAGATCTTTGCGATTTAAAGCTCTGAGAAGCACTGCAAGTGTTATGGACAGGTGTGTAGCTTACTATAAGGCGCATGACTTGCTCGTCCCGTCACTTGATGTTATTAAAAAAAAATGTAAGGCGACGATAAGTTGACAAGTGTTACAAGATTCACTCAAGCCTTATCACATCTTATTTGGATTCTGATGAGCAATAACGTGTCAATCAACAGGAACGCAGTTTTGCACAAATGTCATCTAATGATTTTTCGTTGTTTTTGATAGTTAGTACGAAAATTTGTTGTTAAAAATTGTTGGGGAACTATAGTAATAAATCACAACAATTCATCATTCCTGAGTCGACTACAGCAAAGTTTTCATATTATAAAAAAATTTTAGAACAAACGTAACGAAACAATCTTTAGGTGTCATTTTAACAAAACTATGATCATGTCGATTGACATGTTATTGCTTATCACCATCCACTTATAAACGACATTAATTAAACATCACTAGTGGATTAGAATTATTTAAATACTAAATGTATATTTAATTTCTAATTATGTATCAACCAAAATGCTGTAGGCCGTTGCATAGTTTTAATAGTTGTTTTATCCATATCGATTTTAAATTCGTAATTGTCATGTATACATACTGCTAGTAACCCCGAGTTGTTCCTTCCGGAGCTTCGTCACGTTTTAGTAAATATGCTATAGTCATAGTCAATCCTAATTATTTAATTCGTCAATTACATTGAAATTATATAAACACTTAAGTGCAATTAGAACTATTAGAAAACGATTAGAAGTATTTGTTTTGAACGTAATTGTATTGACATTTTAATTTTCTGATTACCAAATTTACGCTGCTAGAAGCCACGGTTAGTAAAGAAGTTGTATGGTTTTGGGCGGGGAACGAAGAGGGTTTTTGTTGTTGAGTTGTAAGCGCCTTGTTGTCAGTTTGGTGAAAAATAGAAATTAAACGGAATCCAGATACCATTGTGTGTTTGTAGTGCTCTTTCCCTGAGGCTTAATACAAGTTCCATGTGCCTGTAATTTTATAACATCAAGTGACGAGACGAGCAAGTCATGCGCCTGAGGTAAGTTACACGGCTGTCAACAAAAGTTACAGCTTCAAATGACAAAGATCTTAGGGTCACTGCCACTGCGCCCGTCACCCTGAGACATAAGTTGACAAGCGCCACGTGCCTGTAATTTCACCAGCACCCTTCAAATGCGGAACACAGTAATGCAGACATTACTGCTTGGCAGGAGATATAGGTAAGGTGGCAGTACTTCCCAGGACGAACTCTTTCACAAGGACCTCTACTAAATACTTATCCATTTATATAAATAGTATATAATGTAACGTTAATCTTAAACCAATCTATCACCGTAAAAATTTGTAGATAATCTAATTGAATGATCTATTGCCACAAAACGCGGCCGGTTATCTGACAATGCACCACACTTCACCGACAAGTGCAGTTCGTGTAGATTAGTTATTTAGTTTATTATGTTGTTATATTATATTGTACATATATAAGGTATATAATTATATAGGTCATGTGGCCTGAAATAATTGTCTAAATGAATAAAATAAATAAAAATAAAGCTAGTATAGTAGTGCCTGTCTCTGCTTGTCTTTTAAATTTAAACCGTTTGTACAATCAATTTTTAGTTAATAAATAAACAGATAAAACTCAAGATGTTAACTCTTAATCAAAAATAACCGCAGTAACTACCAGTTGTAAACAATTTAATAGCCAATTAACAATTTTATTTTTCTTGACTGCAATGTTAAAACAATTATATTCACACGTTGCCGCGTAAGTGTACTGACGGCATACTAATCAAGTTTATGTAGAGCTAGAGGCAAAAAATAGAGGAAAAGACATAGTCAGTCATATTTGTAAAAAGACAACTGTTTTAACGAAGCTAGAACAACTAAGTATAGTTTATTTCATAGCATGGGTACGGTGAAGTTTGACGTTTGAAGTTTCTTGAGATGTAGTGATGTAAAATCGTACGAAAAAAATCGATTTAAATATATTATCGACATAAATTGTAACGAAGAATGAATTGATCAAGAGACAATAATTTAAGAACAAATAATAAACAAAATGAAAAGCTTTCAGTTATTATCACTATGTTACTTAAAAACTACACAACAAATAAAAAATTCAACAATAACCAAACAAAAAGGCGACAGTAAAACATAAAATCAGCAGCAACGAAACGTAATTTGAACAATTTGACTCATCCGTAGAACAAAGATTATGTGCAAGACTTCTTGTTCTCAGGACATTTCGTTCGTTCATCTTCGCTGTAGAAAGTTGTTCGATTTTATATTTCCGAAACGAAATAAGATACATATATTCCCAAAACAGGCCTTAGTTTGAATAAAAATTATTATTATGACGTACTTATTCACTTTACGCTATATAATCATATCGGACTCTGTTATTTATTCGGATGAGTCGAAGTACTCCAAAAACATCACGCAAAGCTCAACACAAAAGAAAACTACCCGTATACACTCATATTGACGCGAAACACGCTCATCTCAGCTCAGGGCTCATTGAAAACCAGCGCCACAGTCAATTGCGGCGGTGGCATAAGCTGAATGAAGTCCTTTTGCGTACGCCACAACCGCACACATGACAGTACAACATTTGTACTTGTTATATTTAGTATTTTTGTGTTTTGCTCTTTGTTTGTTATTGTCTTATTTCATTTTATTTTAATTTTGTTTATTACGTCTTTTTGTTTTGTTTTGCTTGTCTAAGTAGTATCAATATTTTTTTTTGTATCTATGTGTTGTGGCGTTGCAATAAATGTCTATTCTATTCTATTCTATTCTAAACACATTATAGCTGATTCGATTGATCGATTCTATGGTGTCAATCTCTATGGAGAAATATTCCGTTGTACGCATCAAGTAATTGGGGTCATTCATTTTTATCTCTATAAATTCATTTTCTGTTTACTTAATCATTTGTTTTTGGTACATTGTAACAGTATTTCTATTTGTAACCTGGTTTAGAGATTAGTTGGAAATAGTATGCGTGCAACGTAAAAATTGGAAACGTCACATTCTCCATATTTTGTGAAATGAACCATAAACCATGAAACTCATATAGAGCGGGTGCGGGTCGCGACCGCCGCGGGTCTAATTCCGTGTATTTATATGGACGACAACACACAGAGCGCGGGTGCGAGACAGGCGCGTTTTTTGGTTAGGATTCTACCCGTCGCGAAGCCGACCCGACCTGCACCAGCTCTGTGCATGTTTCATGCTTAAAGGAGTATTCACATTAGACCGTGCCGGGCGCGAACCGACCGACACGTACGAGACTCGGATTGGAAATGCTGCGTACATTTTATATGAAGTGATTCACATTACAACGTGCCGCGTCCGTGACACAGACGCGGGACGACCGAGCTGCTTCCGAGCCTCGTCTGTCTAATTTAAGATAGTGCAGCACGTACGAGGTTAGAATGTCTCGGACACGGCTCCAATGTGAATCATCCTTTAGTGTGTTCTTTACACAGTTAGCCTGTGCTTACAGATGATATTGAAGCACTGTTTTGGAGGAGAGACTTTGCCTCCCTATGCTTGTTCTATCGCTTGTACAATGGCCAACGTTCTGAAGAACTATTTGACATAACAACAGCAACGTTTTATCGTCGTACCGCTCGCCACTGGCAGGGAGTCCATCCTCACGCTCTGGGACCGAGTCGATTACACAATTAGGTTGCGGGATGTACTCCCTGTCGTGATTTTCCCGCAAGAATACAGCATGGAGTCCTTCAAAAGGATTGAGAAGGGTGCTAAAGGGTTGGCAACGCGCTCGTGATGCCCCTGACAATTGCAGGCGTTCATAGGCGACGGCGACCGCTTTCCATCAGGCTGGCCGTATGCTTGTTTGCTGCCTACATAATATATATTAAAAAAAAAAGTTATTTTTGTTAACTTTACTGGACCAAAAATTTTCTTTAAGGACAGGGTTCAAATTAAACCATGGGGGATGTAGACTTCATATGTTTTGCAATTATGGGGGTCAGTTATCTTACGTGACTGTTACACAACCTTGACAAATACTTTTTTTTTGTAGCAGTAGAGCTCCTTGTGTAAGAGTTCGTCCAGCGCAGTACTGCCACCATACCAATTTCTGTCTGCCAAGCAGTAATATAAGCATTATTGCGTTGCAGTTTTGAAGGGTGCTAGTGAAATTACAGGCACATTGGACTTGTCAACTTATGTCTCAGGGTGACAGGTGCAGTGGTAGTGCCCCTCAAATCTTTGCGATTTAAAGCTCTGAGTGGCACTGTAACTGTTATGGACAGCCGTGTAGTTTACCATCAGGCGCAAAACTTGTTCGTCCCGTCACTTGATATTATAAAAAAAAAAACTTAAAAATGTTGAAAGTACTGT